TCACACAACCCCCTGCCATCAAAGCGCTCCTGACTCATAGTGAGTATACATCTTTATGGGTGCAGACCGTCCCCGCTTTCTCCCGCAGAGCGGCTGGTGGGTTTGAACCACTGGCATTCTGGGTAGCAGCCCCATGCCTAACCCATAGCGCCCCCAGAGCTGGTTTGTGGTTCATGGTTTAGTACAGCATCTTTCAGTTCTATTTCCTAGAATTGGAGGTTCCATCCGTGTATTCTAAGCAGAGATGTGTCCACAGAACAACAGTGCCTATGGCAAGACGTGAAATTGCAGACCTCTGGCCCCAGGTTCTAGATAATAGATCACAGCATGAACTCAGAAAGAAAGTGAAGCTCACACGTCCGTTACTCAACACATTACGGCACTACGTGGAAAGGACAGCCACCCCATCTGTACTTTCACTGACGAAAATGGGCCTATGCTGTGTGCTGAAAGTCATTTTTATTTTTTGCGTTTCTACACTCAGCAGAGCAAGGATCACACTGTTGGGCTTGACACGTGACCCACTGCCCCCGAGAGACGTGGAAGCTTAGTAAGGCTGTGGGACAGAGTCTCCCTAAACCTTTACTGAAGCCCACTGCTGCAGCTTTCTCCTGAGGCAACACACTACTGTGCTTGAACCGCTGACCTTAAGCCAAGCTCCGAGACCAACAGCCTAACCACTATGCCACGAGTGCTCCTGCCTTAGCCCACGGAGGCTCTCAAACACAAAGGGATTCCTTTTCAGTTGCTCCACAATCTCCCAACTGGCCCTGGAACAGGCAGTGATGAATCGGGACTGCTCCTTGGCGCCCAGGACACATGCCATGCCAGCCATTCCTTAGCTGTGCCTCTGGGTGGGTGTACGCCAACGAAACGAGAAATCCGGCCAGTTGTGCTTTGCTTGTGTGTTCACTTGGAATTTTCAGAAGTACTAAAGGACTTTGTAACTACTAAAAGAACTCTCAGACCTCATTAGCGTGTATTCATGCCTAATGAAAGGAGAGGAAAGTGCATCGGTTAAGATGTTCTGAAAGCTGCCTTACACATCGGACTTCTCTGAATCCCCTTTTGACCGGGCTTCCCCCACATTTGCTTGCTGTGTGTTTCCCCACAGCATCATGGTCGGTGCCAGCAAACGTGCCAGTGACGCCACAGTTCTTAAAACAATCCGTTTTGAAACCACTCAGCAGTAACGGGGATTAGACTCCGACATCGGCTTTGCAGTCACATCTATCTGATGTGGGCATCTTTCCGTCTGTTTTTCTCTCCAGCTTTAGAAAGAAACGTCATACATCTGAGTCACTGCCTTTCCTACCTCCTCCCCTTAATGATGTGGTTCCTGGGGGTTCATGAATGTTACTATATAGGGAAAACAGAATGATACTATCAACCGGCTTTTCTTCCAGCCACTAATAGCACCCTAGTGTATCTATTGTTTCAGGATGATTAATTCTATTTTAACAGACTGTGTGTGTGTGTGTCGGTGAGAGAGAGAGAGAGAGAGAGAGAGAGAGAGAGAAAGTACAGCTTTTCCTGAAACAAGCATATTTGATGCACCTTTGGCTAAGTGCATTTACCTGTGCTATCTGATTAACATTATCCCTTGATTTTAAAATTCCATGAAGCTAGACCCGTGGCTAGGGACAGAGTTTACCCTTAATGTTCCATTAGCAATCTTGGTATTATAGCAGCAATAACTTTGCTTTTGTTACTCATGCGTAAAGTTAAAACTGAACGTGGACCGTTCTGTAAGCTGTGGCAAATATGGTTGGAGGGAGTGTTTTAAAAGACCAGTACAAAATATTTTTTATTTCCTTTTCATTTCATCCTGTATTGTTTTAATTAGAGTTTCTGAATTGCGTTATGGGTGTATTAACAAGTACTCTGCTCTCAGACAAGAGGACTTCAAAAAGTTCATGGGAAAATTCCATGATTTTGTAGTTACGTTTTTCTATAAACCCTTTTGAACCCCCCTCATACTGGGGTTCCCAGGCTTTTAAAACTT